GGCGCCGAGTTCGACACACCTACTTATCGGCGAGCGTTGGAAGTAAGCTCGCATCTTCAAGTCTGTCCTGGGCGACGAGCCACTGCGGGTAGCAGACGCCACAATGCCCAAATGGAGCGTTCGATGATTGCGTTATCGACGTTCTCGAGGATGCCGCCAGCATCGCCGAGGGAGGTTCACCATCCGCCCTGTCGGCTATCCCAGAGGAGACCAACGGCGACTTCTTTGGCCACGTTCAACATGATGTTGGCAGTCCTGCGCGACGTCGAAGGAGCAGAAGACCTGGCCCAGGAGCTCGAGGCTCGCCGCCGCGGCCAGCCTTGGCCGCGGGCCCCACGAGTGGCTCCCGCACCTCGTGACGCAGCGCCGGCGTCAGAGGATCCATGCGCAGCGCCACTGCTAATTATTTGCGCGGGGCCTCCTTGGACGACAACGCCCCGCTACGGGAGGGGCGACGGGGGAATGCATGTGGAGTTGCATCTTGGCCCAAGGGTGCGCGAAGATTCCTGAGCTTCAACGAGGGAGCGTCTGGTGACTGTGTCTCTAGCGCTCCCCGCGCAGCCGTGCTTGACATCTACGCAGCCGTTAAGACCGCGGTCATCAAGCGCGACGCCGATCTTCTGGCCAACGCGGCGGCGTCGAGGCAGTCTAAGGAGGTCGCAGCGGCCATCTTCGAAGAGCTCACCATCTCTGGGTCAAGTGCGCATGTTTCGAGAGCCGATCGCTCAAGGGCGCCCGAAACGCAATGGATTCCAGACATGTCTCCCAGTGGAAGCACGGGGAGGGATCAGGCGGCACGACTGCCTGGATCACCCAGCGCCGCATGGCGCTGAGGGGCTTCCGCGACATGGGCGCCAGGGCCGCGGAGACGCCCTTTGGGGATGTGATGCGGGCGTCGCAGCGCATGCTGTCCTCAGTGGAGGCGCGTCGCCCAGACCGGGCGCGCGTCGCCGTGGACGCCGAGAAGGCGCTCCTGCGAGGAATGACTTACGCCGAGATTCAGGAACAAGGTGAGGCACCGCGCAAGGTGAACTTCACCCTGCCGCAGGGCAGCGCAGCCATCCTCGGGCAGGTGCCTGGTTACCAGAGCTTCGACGAGCGGACCGAGTGCCTGCGCTGCGTCATGCCGCGCGCGGGCTGCAAGGATGCGCCCCGAGCCTTCTCCGCGAAGCTCGCCGGCGCCACGCGCTCGCCAGAGTGCGGCGCCCAACCCGCCAGGTGGGACCTGGAGCTCGAGGTCAAGCATGAGACGACTGGTGCCTGCGGCACCAGCGGCTCAGAGCGAGTGTTTATGTTGTCCAAGCACGTTGATGATCTGAAGATCGCTGGACGCAGGGAGCACGTCGATCGGCTGATCGGCCATGCCCAGAGCGTCTTCGGCAAAATGATGGGTGACTCCGACGACCTCGCCAATTGCGGAGCACACAGGCGCCGCTGTTATGATGGCACAGTGGCGCTCGACCAGAACGAGTGCATCGACGCTCTGGCACCGATCAGACACGTCGACCTGGTCGCGGCTTATGAGCCGGCCAGAGGTCGGCTACCAAGCCTGTTGGTCTCTCTCCTGGGAGCAGCGGCCTAAGGCGCGCATCGCATTTTCAGCGGCGAAGAGTGCCGGGCGATTCATCGCGCGCGGCGAGGGGCCGTTCAAGGGGGAGGAGGAGACAGCATAGGGCATGAGAGGAGCCGTTCACATGCGTCTCGGCATGCGCCGCCGCACGGGCAAACAAAAGCGCCGCCCGCTGGGCGCAGCGGGCCGATCGCACAAGCTAGTGCGCAGATCCGCGTTCGGCCCCGAGCTGTTCGCTGCGCGCGGCGCGGCTGACGGACTGCAGGCGCACCTCCTCGCGTCTCAAGAGATGGTGCGCGGCCCCGCCTCTGCTGAGGAGATCAGGAGGTTCAGGGAAGAGGGGGGCTACGCGATCCTTGCTAATCTCGTCATCGACGGCGCGTCCGTCTTCAGCGACCTGCTCATGGACCCCGTGCGGCCGCATTCCGAGAACTTCAAGGCTGGTCGCCAGTGGTGGTTGGTTGGCCAGCTCCGCGCCAAGCAAAATGAGGACCTGCTCTGGCGCGACACTGGGGACATGTGGGCCGACCCCATGACCAAGGGCAGCATTGGCTGGGACCTAATCCTCAAGGTCAGTGACGGCCAGGTCAGCCATGACCACGACATGGTCAAGCTCAGTAATGAGTAGGAAAGGAAGAAGACCGTCCCGAGCTTCCAGCTCAGCTCTGTCACCCAATAGCGAAGAGGCGACCCTTGTGACTGCATTACAAGGTCGACCTCCGCATCATCGAGTCGCGGGCATTGATGGCGAGAGTGATGAGCAGATCGAGCACGCAAGTGAATGCTGCTCCTGCTGAAAGTGTCAGTGGAGCGACAGCATCCATTTGGTGCGTGCTGCGCGCTCCACTAATAGTCTCGCCCTCGCAGTGGCCGGCGACTGTTTATGAAAAAGCGGTTGCTAGAGCTTTTTTTGCAGCTGTCCTGTAGCGGGGTGCGGTCAGCCCCATCTGAATTTCATACCGTGGGTTCTTGTGCGGTTTGCGCATTGGGACCAACGAGGGCACGACTGACTGGCTTGAGCAACGCATTCGAACAGTACCTGAGACCCCCCCCGTACCGGGCGACACGCTCGTGTCACCCGTTAGGCTCTGCCCGTTTCACCCATTCCTTCCCTGGGCCCGTCGCTGTTCTGAGCCTGATCAGTGCACCGCGCCCGCTCTATTCTCGCTTTATTCTCGCGCTCACCGTTTTCATTCCGTCCGCGGGAAAAAAAAACCGCTGGCGGATTTACCCCTTGCATCAATTTGTCTCGTTTCCTCCTCCTCCTCCTCCTACTCCTCCTCCTCCTCCTCCTCCTCCTCCTCCTCCTCCGCCTGCCAAGAACCGCTCTGGCTCGGGCGCGGGGCCCGCCCGCCTTCGTGCCAGCGCCGAGCGTCCGCGACGCGTTCTTGGTGACGGGAGAGTCGCCGCGGCAGCCCGCCGAGTCTCTCCCCGACTAATTCGGTGCGAATCATGGGGCGCAGCAAGCCAGCTGCGCGATCTCCTGCCCCGCGCAGCCCAAGGGCAGGAGGCGGAGGCAGCTCCTAGCAGAAGAAGGTGGCCTTCATCGATGGCTGGACCCGCTGCTCCGCCTGCAAGAAGTGGATGTGGAATGAGACCTGGGGCGAGGCGCACTGGAAGTGCAACTGTGGCGCGCAGGTCGAGCCCTTCCGCCGCCGCGAGGCCAGCCGCCCGCCCTCTCGCAGGCCGGCGCGGCCGCCGCGGGGCGGGGTAGGCCAGTGCCCCTGGCATCAGGGCGGAGGCGGCAGCAGCGAGACGAGCTCCAACGGCTCGGACTTCACGTCCTTCCTGGCGCAGCTGGCCGAGAAGGTCAGCACCTCTCCGCAGGCGGACGAGGCGAAGGCGGCCATCAAGCTGGTCCAGCAGCTGGCGGAGCCGCCGCCGCCCGCGGCCCCTGCTGAGGCGGTGAAGCCCCCCGACGAGGTCTTCCGCAAGGCGTCGGGTCTCCACAGGGAAGCAGCCCGCCGCCACCAAGGTTCGGTCGACGCGGTGCTTCGCCTCGAGGAGCAGCTGCGAGCTGCCCGCGTCAAGGAGGGTGAGCTCGCGCTCCTCCTTGCGGAGGCCGACCGTGCCAAGGCTGTCGCTGCTGCAGCCTTGGCCCGCCACGCGGCGGAGGTGGCGAGGGCGACGGGCGTCTCGGACGATCTCTTCCATCTCTCCTGGGGCCCCGACGTGTTCACCAACTTCGAGGGTCTTTCGCCCACGGAGCAGGGCGAGTTGCAGAACCTTGAGAAGTCTCTCGTCGCCACCAAGGTTGAGCTGGCCGCCAAGGCCAAGCAGGTGCGGGACAAGCTCGCCTCGTCCAGAGCAGCGCTGGCCCGCACGCGCGGCAGCAGCAGGAAGCGCCGCACTGGCTCTCCTTCGGCACTTCGTGAGGAGGGAGGTGGCGCTGAGGACGAGGAGATGGCCGACGTCGGCAGCGACCGCAGCCCGCCGCCTGGCGGCGACGGAGGCGACGCTGAGCTGGGCTCCCGCCCCCCCTGCCGTGGCCTGACAGGCAGCCGCGGGTCGGGCCCCTGGGAGCCCGACCCGCGCAGGCCTGGGCGCCTCCTCCGCGTCCGCCGCTCCAGGTGATGAGGAGGCGCTGCAGGCTGAGGGGAGTGAGGTTGCAGCTGGGGCTGCCGACCTCGAGTTTTGTGAAGGCGGTGGCCATCGAATATTCTTTGCGAATGTCACGGAGATGGGACCGCAGGCTTGGGGATACGTGGAGGAGTCGCTGAACCGCTTCAACTCGTTCAGCTTCGTCGAGACCCACGTGCATGCTGGCCACTTCGAGAAGTGGCGACGAGAAGCTAAGAAGCTCGATTTGAAGATCATGGCCAATCACGCTCGGCCCTCCAGGCGCGGCATGCTGGAGGGCACTGGTGTCGTCAACGGCACCGAGGGAGGAGAGTGGTTGATGTGTCGGCGTGGTCATCACGTGCATACGCTAGAGGGTAGTGACGATCGTGCGCTGGCCGCCCCTGGTGCTGAGTCCGCCGACGGCTTCCAGGCCAGCGTGCTCCACCTCAAGGGCAACAGGCAGGTTGTCGTGGTCACCGTCTACGGCGTGGCTCGTCATGGGTGACTTCAACCTGCCGCACCAGACCTTGCAGCAGGCTGGTTTCTTGCGCCGCATCGGCGCGCAGGTGGTGATGGCGGACGTGACGACCACCTGCGACGCGGGCCAGCACGGCTCGCACATCGACTACGGCCTGTGTTCCGCTGCCTGCGCCCCGCTGTTGGCAGGCATCAGGGCCACCGCCGCAGTCCCCTGGAAGACGTATTGCGGTCTTGTTGTGCAGTTTCCCTCCAGTCAAGCTGTCCTCCTGGGTCGGCAGCTGGTGATGGCGAAGGGCCTGCCTCAGGTGGCGAAGCGGCCACGTGCCGAGGCCCCCCGCGGCCGCCGCGCCAAGCAGAGAGGAGATGAGGAAAGACGGGCCCTCGCCAGGCGAAAAGAGCTGGAGCTTCATTCCCAGCTCTACGGCGATCATTACCAGATTCGGTCCTTTGATGATATGTCCACCTGCTCAGGCTCCGAGGGCGACGACAGCAGCGATGAGGACTCGGAGGCTGGTTGGGAACCCCCCGCAGCAGCGGCGGGCATGGCCCCGCGGGCAGCGGCGCGGTTTGACGACAGCGAGGTGGACCCGTTCGAGTGCCTCGACGCCGAGCTCGACGTGGACCATGTGCTGGAGGCCAGTGACATGCAGGCAGTCGCTGGAGCTGCGCCGCCTGGAGCAGCCGAGGGTGAAGGCCCCGCCGCTTCCGCTGCGCCTGCGGCCGTGAGCCCGCAGGGAGGTGCGCGAGGGCAGGCCGCGCCCCCCCCGCCCAGGGCTGGCTCCGCGTCCAGCCGAGAGATCAGGGCGAGCTTGCCAGGTTTCGCTATCGATGACGAGACGTGGCACAGCACCGCGGCTGCGCCCAGGTCCGACGTGGAGTCGCTGGAGTGCAGTGCGGTCGAATCAGCCGCCTTTCTTGTTGGTGGTGCCCTGTTACCTCAGATCAGCATCCAGTACGGGAAGTGGGCCGAGCACGTGGAGAGGGCCATCTACACATCATGGTTGCAGTACACTGGGGCGCATGTCGCGCAGCTCAGAGGCGCGGCTGATCGAGTGCAAGTGCACGCCGAGTGTGACGACCAGACTTGAGCCCATTCGCGGGGCGGCAGTGCGTTGGTGGTCTTCGGTGGCTGCACTACTCTCCAGGATCGGCAAACTTCGACGTCGCAGCAAGCAGGCCACTGATGATCGGCGGCTACTTGCAGAGGCTGGACGGGAGCTTCGTGACCGCGTCCCTGCCAAAGCCCGCCGATGCTACATGGCGGGTCGTGCTGGCGTGCGTCGCGGAGCTCGTCCCCAGCGGCAGCAGCAGCGGCGACCTCCGTCGCGGCCAGCCCAGCAGCAGAGTCCGACTCACCCCCCTCCGTCCGTGCCCCTCAGCGGGCGGCGCCCACCAGGTGATGACGGTGAGCTCGGGTCGCCCCTTGGAGGCGAGTCTCAGGGCGAGGTGAAGAGTTGCAAGGCGTTGGTTGCGAGCTTGGGTGACGTGCACGCCATCTCGGACAGCCGCCTGGCGGCCTTCGAGGAGGCGGCCTTTGCAGCTGCAGCGCGTGCCATGCAGTCGGCGGCCCACAAGTCCCTGCAGCGGCTTCGGCAGTGGATTGGATCGGACGAGGCCACGCCGTTGGTTTTTCGCTCCCTTCGGGAGCGGCATCTGGCAGCAGACGAGGTCCTGGTGGGCAGCAGCATCCTGGTGCATCCCAGCGCGATCCTCGACCACAAGGCGACCGCTTGGGAGAAGCTGTGGTCGCCCCACCCCGTCAAGCGCGAGGAGGTTTGTGGCTTGTTCGAGGACCTCCGCGAGCAGGTGCAGTACGAGGAGCTGGACCGCCTTACGGTTGCCGACATCCGCACTGCCCTCCAGCGCATGCGGCCCCAGACTGGCAAGGGCGTGGACCAGTTCACGGTGCTGGATTTGGCGAGGTTGCCCGACCCTGCGCTGCAGGAGTTGGCCGATCTCGATTATTCTGCTGAGCGGGCCGCTTGCTGGCCCAAGCAGCTCCTCCTGGTGCTGGGCCACGTCCTCGAGAAGAAGGGCGGCGGTGAGCGCATCATCGGAGTCTTGAGCATGGTCACGCGCTGCTGGAGCATGATCCGCGAGGAGAGCATGCGGGACTGGGCGAGGCGCACGGCCCCAGCCTGGGACGCTGCCGTCGCGGGCAACTCAGCGCTCCGCGAGGCCTTCGCCCGCGCGGTGAGCGAGGAGGCCTTCGCTGCCATGGGGGTCTCGTGCGGCCACGGCCTGATCGACGTCCAGAAGTTCTACGACAGCATGCCATGGACGGGGCTCGCTCAGGCGGCGCTCCGCTGCGGGTTCCCACCCGCTGTCCTGGCATTGGAATTGCAGCAGTGTGTGGCGAGCAGGGTGCTCCTGTAGGATGGCATGGCGTCTCGGTTCGTTGTCCCATCTCAGTCGGTGGTGCAGGGCGTCAGGTCGGGCACGAGGTTCGGTCGTTGCATGACGTACCACACGCTGCAGCAGCTGACCTTAGGGTCGCCCCAGCTCCTGCCCTCGCGGATCTGGGTCGACGGCCTGTCGGTGTCCTCCGTTGGCACGAGGCAGTCCGTCGTCGACGCCGTCTCGAAGGGCATCATCGACTTCGGCTCGGGCATGCAGCAGGCTGGTCTGCAGATATCCACCAAGAGCGTCGTCGTCTGCTCGCAGCTGGAGGATGCGCGGCGCATTGCCCAGGTCGTCAAGCAGCATGGCCTCGCCATCCAAGCGGCGAGCCACGGCGCATGCCTCGGCGTCGATCTTGCAGCGGGCCGCCGCCCTGTTCGTCGCACGATCGTCAAGCGCATGGGCAAGTTTCGCATCGCCAATGGCCGTCTTCGAGGCATGGCCCGTGCCTCGCGGCAGTACCAGACGTGCGGGTATGTCGAGAGGGTCGGGCTGCAGGCGGCGGCGACCTACGGGCATGAGGTGTTCGGCGTCTTCGGCAGCAGGCTGGCAGAGCTCCGTCGAAGGCTTGCCTCAGTCTCAGGAGCTGCTCGGCGAGGACGTTGTCTCACCACGCAGTTGGCACTTCGCGCAGGCCCTCTCGACCCTGCCAGGCGCCTGCCTCGCGCCCTGGTCAAGTGCTGGTTCGAGGTCTGGAGGAGTTGCCAGGAGTTGAGAAGGCGAGTGGCGAGGGCCTGGATCCCGATTCACAGTCGGCTCCGCGAGGCCGAACCTGAGTGCAGGTCAAGGTTAGTGCGTGGCCCTACTTCTGCCCTCCAGGCCCTCCTCCTGCAGCACGGCTGGGCACCCGTCGGCCCCATGGGCTGGGAGCGCGGCCTGCAGGACGGTTCTCGTGAGCGGTGGGTCTTCCCTGACGTGGCCAGCATCACAGACGGCTCCTGCAAGGCCGTCCTCGACGCGCTCGACGACTCCATCCAGGAGGATCTCTGGCAGCGCGCTGCCACGCACTGGTGCGGTGCAGGCCTGGAGGCTGGTGCTGATCTTCGGTCTCTTCAGGCGCACCTCCAGCGGCTCAGACGTCTACCTGGGGGGCCTGCGTTAGAGGAGCTACTCGCCACCATTGCGGTGGGTGGAGCCTGGCCGAGGTCACGCAAGAATGAGATCTTCGGTGACATCGAGTGCGCCAACTGCCCACGACGTGGTGGCGAGGAGGAGACTCCCTTCCATAGGTTCTGGAGTTGCCCCCGCAACGTCGGCAGCAAGGCCTACGACGACAGCAGCGAGCTCCTGCCCCGCGCGGCCGCGGACCAGGAGGCGCACGCAGCTTTCTGGCTGCGAGGCATCATCCCTCGCTGCTGGACTGAGGTCGCCGCCCCCCGCGACCACGACCCCTGGACGCTCTTGAATGGCCAGCAGGTTGCCGTGCTGGCCCCAGGGGCGCTGGGGCAGGGCACCGAGGAGGCCCCGCTCGTCCTCTTCGGCGATGCCAGTGGAGGACCAGATGGGCAAGACCCGCATCTTCGACGTGTGGGTCTCGCAGTTGCTCGTGTCCATCTGGTCGACGGAGGTCTCGAGCAGGCAGCGTGGGGCGGCCTCGGCGGCAGCATGCAGACCGTCCACCGCGGTGAGCTGCGGGCGCTCGTGCTCGCCGCACAAGGCTCCCTTGGCCCCACGGTTTACATCTCGGATAGTCTGGCCGTCTGCGAGGGCTGGTTGAGGCGCTTTGATTTGCAGCCGCACGGCGATGACAGCGACCTGTGGAGCCTCCTCGCGCAGACCTTTCGCAGCAGGAGCAGGCCCAGATCAGATTTCGTCGTGGAGCACGTGTACTCGCATCTGGAGATGGCCGAGGCTTTCGAGTTGCAGGTTCCTCCATGGCTGGTCGTCGGCAACGCGGTTGCGGACATCCTGGCTGGTGCAGCAGCGGACGTTGTTCGTGTCGCTGCCCACGAGCGGGCTCGGGTCCACCAGACGGAGCACATGGCCACGCTGGTCAGGAGAAGGCTGCTGCGGGCCACCCTCGACGCCATCGAGGCGGAGAACGGCCTGGCCCCTGCAGTGCGGCGTGCCAGGAGGCGGGGGCGTGCTCCCCCTGCAGCCAGTCTTGTCGCTGCCTTCGGCACGTCCCATGTGCTGGACAGCCGCGGCAGCTGCTTGAGGTGCAGGTGCTCAGCGTCGCGATCATCCCGTTCGCAGTGGCTGGAGGCACGGTGTCCTGAGGTGCAGCGGGATGAAGCCCACACGCTCAAGCTGGCTGATGACGACGTGCACATCGGCGGAGTCCGCCCTCACCCCTCGCATGTGATGCGGCTGCGCCAGAACCTCGACGTCTGGTTCTGCCTGAAGTGTGGGTTCTTCGCGGCGGCCGCTGGCCGCTTGCTGGGGCGGGGCCTTCGCGCGTGCTGTCCTTTGGCCACTTCGAGGACTGGGCGAGACTACCTCCAGCGGATCGCCCGCGGACTTTGGCCGAAGGTCGCTGGGCGGCGTCGGTTTGCCCACGCTGGAGAGGGCATCCTGCTCGGCCCCAAGAAGCAGGCTGCCCGCCGACGTGCCGCGCGAGCGGCCGCTGCTCGGGCTGCAGCCGCCTCAGGGCAGGTGATCCAGCCCAGGCCGATGGAGCTGGTGGCCCTGGACGCTGAGCCTGTCCCCTCCGTCATCGGCGACCCCCTCGCGCTGGACGGCGGCACGGCAGGCCCGCGGAGGGCAGTCCCGCTGGGAGCGGCCTCCTCGGGTCCAACGACTTCCTCCGACAGTTGGCCGCAGCCTGTGATAAATTGCGGCAGACACGACGGTGTTGCGGCGGAGTCCGCCAGGAGTGGGGAGCCTGCGTCGGGCTCCCGCTCCCCCTGTCCTGCTGGTGATCGGGCAGATGTTCCTCCTCGCGGAGGTGGGGTCCATCGTGCTGGCATCCCCTTGGCAGGGGCTCCTGTCATGAAGCTGAAGGCGTTCGACGAGAAGGTTCGCTGGCTGCTAGAGGCGGCCAGCGGCAAGCGCCCCAGCCCTGACCTGGACGTGATCGAGGCCCGAGTCGAGAGCACTCCTCGGGCCAAGCGGCTGCGGGCCGAGGGCGTGGCCAGCGGGCCCGAGGCGGAGCAGGCTGCTGGGCTGCCCTGAGGCCGCTGGCCTCCCGCCACCTCGGCCGCGGCCCCCGCGGCGTCGGAGCCGCAACCGAGCCGCGTGCGCCCTGACGCGCGCGTCCTCGGAGCGCCCTCAACCTCAACCTCCTCCTCCGCCTGCTGCTCCTCCTCCTCCTCCTCCTCCTCCTCCTCCTCCTCCTCCTGCTGCTCCTCGTTTGCCATGGTCGCACGCTGCTTGGAAGTCGGGTCAGGGCGGTGCCAGGGGAAGGATTTGGGGCCTGTTTAGACCAGGTGCTAGTGGGGGAGGAAGGGAGGTGGACGGGGGAGGACGGGAAGAGGAGGAAAAGGAGAAGGCGGAGGAGGAAAAGGAGGCGGAGGAGGAGGAGGAGGATAATTATGATGATGATGGTGATGAGGATAATGCTGATGATGATAATGGTGATGGTAATGAGGATGGTGGTGGTGATGCTGGTGGTGGTGGTGACGATGATGATGATGGTGATGATGACGATCCGGATGTTGATGGTGATGATTACGGTGATGGTGATGATGATGGTGGTGTTCGTGATGATGGTAATGACGGTGTTGATGATGACGATGATGATGAGGAGGAAGAGGAGGAGCAGCAGGAGGAGGAAGAGGAGGTTGAGAAGGAGGAGGAGGAAGAAGAAGAAGAGGGGGAGGAGGAGGAGACAGAGGAAGCGGAGGAGGCGGACGAGGCGGAGGAGACAGATGGGACTCCGACGATCAGGACGAGAGTTTGGTTTAGACACGAACCCGAGTTCGGTTCCAGGAGATGCTGCGCCTGCTGCGGACGTTCCGCAAGGGGGACGTGATGGTCAAGGCTAGGACCCCCCGAAGCATTGACCGCCCGCCCTGGCAACACCGCCGGCCCCATGCCTCCCCATCCCCCCCTTGCATTATCCATCCTCGTTCCCGCCAGGGGGATACTAGGGCACATACGGTCAGGAACGTTTGCTTACAGTGTCGCACCGCCAGTTTGGGCCCACCACGCTTCCCCGAGCGTCAATGTCCCGCGCTTTTCCTGGCCTCCCGCCCCGCAGAGCGGAGCGACACGCTATCAACTAGCAGGGCATGGCGTGTCGCCGGGGCCGCCGCCGCAGCACGCTAAGCAAAAGTTCCCGATCGTAGTTGCCTCATACTTGCGCCCCCAACACGCAGGTGGGGGACATCGAGCCCATACTGGAGGTGCTGAACCTGAACAGGCTCTTCTCGACGAAGCCGCCCCGGGAGAACGTTACGGTGGACCCTGGGTTCTTGGTGTACCGAGGGGTCGCAGGCGTCAACGTGCCAGCGACCTTCGGGGAACTGCACCAAACAGACGTAGTCCCAGCCACGTGGACGGGAGGCAGCGTGACCCTCGGGGGCCACGACTTCTTGCAGCAGCAGGACGGCTTCCGGCCCAGCAGCGTGCCCGAGGGCAATTTCACCATGTTCCCGCGCCTGTGGGTCCAGATCAAGTGCTCCTCCTGGTCGCACAGGGAGAAGCGCAGTTCCAAGAGCAATGCCGCTGGGCTTGGGCCCATCCGGCACGGCTCCCTGGGCCCGATCCCCGACGTCGGGCCGGGCGGCCCAGCGTGGGATGCGTCGTGCTCACTCATGCAGGCTGCCTCACTTGCAAGTCATGGAAGTTCCGTGTACCCTGGAAATTCCGTTTTTAGAGTGCGCTATCGTCGCTTAGCGTCGCTTAGCGCTTGGTAGTCAATGAGATATCGCAGCGTCGATAAGCGTCGATAAGCATCGATTAGCGTCGATCTAGCGTCGATTTAGCGTCGACTAGCGTCGATCAGCATCGATTTGCAGGGGCCAACAAGATGGTTTGGGAGGCTCCCATGAGTTGCCACTGAAGGCTGTCAACGAGGAGGCCCGGCCAGAGAAGGGGCTCGCGACGCTGAAGACGATGCAGTCGCAGGACGATTGGGAGGTCGGCCGCCGCAACGCGGCCTCGCGGTCCGGGAGCGTGGTGTCCACCTTCGGGGCCGATAACGAGAGGATCGACCACAAGGTCCTTGCCGTGCTTTTTTCTATAGCTACGGTCGAGCACGTGATTGAGAGCCCTCCTCAGCAAAAGCTTGGCCAGCGTTTCTTGACCAACTTGCCCGAAGGCCGGCTCAGTGTATTGAGCACGTTCACCCATCCAGCGTGAACAACAGAAGCTGGCCCAGGTTTGCTTGAAGAAACTTCCAGAAGACTGGCCCAAGTTCTTTGAATGATGATGTTTTTGATCATCTTTTCGGCTGTAGTGTTGCTGCTATTCGGAGAGCGCGGTATGGGTTCGGGCTGCACAGAGACAGTCCCCCCCCCCGCCCGTAGCCCTGGCTTGCCTCCACGGGCTCCCTGAGTAGTCTGGGGCGGTCTCAACACCTCAATGGGGGCGGAGCGCTCCAGGGGCGCCGCTGGAGGCGGCGCCAGGGTATTGAGCCCGCTGAGGATAACCCAGCGGGACTGCTGAGGCCAGCCGAGACTACCTGGGGGAGGGCGCGTCTGTAATTACGCAACCCGAGGCTTTACCAGCAGGAGAAGGAGGAGGAGGAGAGGAGGAGGAGGAGGAGGAGGAGGAGGAGGAGGAGGAGGAGAAGAAAGAGGAGCAGCAAGAGGAGGCGGAGGCGGAGGAGGAGGCGGAGGAGGAGGAGGAGGAGGAGGAGGAGGAGGAGGAGGAGGAGGAGGAGAGGAGGAGGAGGAGGAGGAGGAGGAGGAGGAGGAGGAGGAGGAGGAGGAGCAGCTGGAGGAGCAGCTGGAGGAGCAGCTGGAGGAGGAGAGCTAAAGGTTGTCCTCGCGGTCATATCCGGGCACGCTCGCCACGGCATCCGCATAGGCCAGCACGAGCGGAGCTCCATCTACAGCATCGAGGACCTGTACGGCCAGGGCGAGGAGGTGTGCCTCGGCGGGTCCCCGACGGAGGTGGAGTTCGAGCTAGAATTTCGGCAGATTTGCAAGTCGGGGTGAAATGTCAGGGGTCGGCGTTTCCGGTGAACGTTCCGCCGGGCGCCGGGGTCGGCGTTTCAAGGGAACGTTCCGATTTCGGCCAGATGTGGGGCCCCGGAGGAGGAGGAGACACGATATCAAGCACTTCAGGATGATGCTCGAACCAAAACAAGCGATTCCCCAACATTGGCGAAGGCGGCGGGTTTTCACATCCCGAGGGTCCCAGTCCTTCGTGTTCCCCGCTCGACAACCCCTGCGAGCAGCGCCGACGTCGGTACTTTAGGTACGCCCACGCCCAGGTGGAGTTCGAGCTGCAGCTGACCGCGCGGGCGCCCAGCAAGTGTGGCATCTGCAGCTGCACCCTTGCCGTACTGCCGCCGGGCACGCGGGAGTATCCGCCCAACCCGCTCCTCGAGGTGGCCTTCGACGCCTCCGCGGAGGAGCACCTGCACTTCTACATCTCCTCGAGCCATTTCGACTCGAACAGCACCTACGGCGTGGCCCTGAACTGGGTGCTGCGCCCGGGCAGCGGTGGCAGTGGCGCTGTTGCAGCCAGCGCCGCGAGACGTTGCTGAGCGACGGGGCACATCGCAGATCCTCCTCCTTCTCCTCCTCCTCCTCCTCCTCCTCCTCCTCCTCCTCCTGCTCCTCCTCCGCTCTCTCCTGCTCCAGCCGCGCGCTCCCGCGGAATCTCATCCCTGGCCCCAGGGTGGGTCTCCTGAGCCACGAGACCTCCTCCTGCTCCGCCTCCTCCGTCTGCTCTCCCCCCTCGGCTGATGGACGACATCCTGCATCACCCGCGCGGCCAGGGTGCTGGCGCAAACTTCCAACGCGCCCCCCTGCCCCCGATTCAGTGTTGATTGGCATCGCCAGCGAGGCGCAGGATGTGGGCCAATCGACGGATCGATACGTCGCAGCGCAACCCGCCACCATTAGATTGGAGGCGCGGGGGGTGTTCACAAGCATAAGCATGAAAGGTGCAGTATTCGGCCACGCGCAGAGGGGAGGGGGGAAGGCTCCTTAGGAGCACCCCTGCTTCTCGCAAGGCGCGGGCCCTGCCTGTAGATGTAGGACCGGTGCCTTCTAAGAAGCAGCCTCCGTCTAAGAAGCCTTCCCCCCTCCCTTCTACCCCCTTGTGCGCGTCGCCAGAGTATTTTGTCCATCAACCGCTCCCCCTTCCAACCACTGCCTCCTGCCGCTGCTGCTCCTGCGCCTCGTGCTTCTCCAGCTTCTCCTGTGCTGCTGCTGCTACTCCTCCTCCTCGTGTTCCTCCTCCTCCTTCTCCTCCTCCTTCTCCTCCATTCCTTTTCCTTGTAAGTACTGCCTCCCTGCCGCACCCCAAGGCAAGTCGGAAGGGCGGCTGGGCGTTTCGCTAGAGACAGCCTTACCATTTATGAGTCTGAAGCTGAACAGTTGACAACAGTTTCATAGATGGGGGGCGGGTGGTTTTCAAAATGTAGCTCTCGCCTTGACGCCGCCCGCATTCGTCCTAAACATTCGGAAGAGCTTCGCGGATTCAGGGCGGGTCGTTTTCAAAATGTTGTTCTCGCCTCAGCGCCGTGCACATTCGTTTTAAACGTTTGCAAGAGCTTCACGGATTGAGGACGGTTCTTTTTCAACATGTGGCACTCGCCGTAGCGCCACGCACATTCGTTTGAACAAATTACTTGCACGGGTTCTCATGTTTAACGTGTCAGAATTGGTGTTTTGGAACGGCTCAGGATTGCCAGGGCGCAACAGTACCGTTGATTCGTTGCGTTTTGGCATGGTTGTTCTGGAATGGTGTTGTGGAATGGTGTTCTGGCACGGTTTAGAATCGTCAAGACGCAACAGTCAGATTGATTTGTGGCGTTGAAGTCATGATAATTGTGGTTTGGCATGCTTCAGGATTTTCACAAGGTTGTCCCCCAACGGGGCAATTCCCCCAGTGGAACTAGCCCCTCGTAGGGGCCTATGAAGAGGGAGATTGGAGGGAGGGTATATTCCAACATCGTTGACAAGTCTTGGGTTCAAGCTGGTCCCCCCTCTCTTCCTCCTCCTCCTCCTCATCGTCCTCCTCCTCCTCCTCCTCCCCCTCCTCCTCCTCCCCCTCCTCCTCCTCTTTCTCCTTCTCCTCCTCTGCCTCCTCGTCGTTCTCCTCCTCCTGCTCCTTTTTCTCCCTGGTTAGCACTCTGCCTCTGCCTCCTCCTCCTCCTCCTCCTCCTCCTCCTCCTCCTCCTCCTCCTCCTCCCCCTCCCCCTCCCCTACCTCTGACCTCGCACCCGTCTGCGCGCTATGTTCCCTGTCAGGTAGCGCCGAACATTGAGCCCCTCGAAAGTGAGTCCAGGAAGCGCGTCTCTCCCCGGCTCAGACCAGGCCTCAGGGTACCCCCCGATACAAGTTGAAAAGCACATTCTGGCTGGTCCCTCGGAAGGACCAGCCAGAGGCTGGGGAGGCAGCCCCTGGAGGGACCCCCTTCTCCATGGGCTCGAGCACGCTTCCTCCCCAGGCTGCCCTGGCGTTGCCAGCAATCCCGCACAGGGCCTCATTTTGTGAGCGCGCCCTCCGCATTTTCCCCTCCCCCGCGGCCGCCTCCTCCCCGTGCCCTATAAGGCCCACAAGTCTCCAGTGACGGTTATTTTCCCGTTCTTGCCCTGCTGCCGTCTGGGTGGTGCTCTGCACCCATCAGAAATCAGACATCTTAACAACTTTCATGCACTCCAGGCGTCGTCGAAGAAAAACAAGAATCAGGGCTGGACCCTGTAAACAAGAATCAGGGCTGAACCCTGGGCGTTTTATCAGAGCTTCCGCCCCGTAAGAATGTGCTCTACTTGGACTTGGACTACTGTTTAAGAACCCGCTCGGAGTCAAGCCCATTTTCTTAACGTAGAGCGTCCTAGCTCTAAGCAGGGGTTGATGGCTTGCGCACTATGTCGCCTTAATGATTGCGATGTTCTCGGTTATTCCTAAACGCGCGTCAATGATTCTAGAACCTCTTTAATTGGCGTCCACGCCAGTAGTCATGTGTGTAATTTCATAAAGGTGTTATCGTCTTGCCGCTAGCCCTTCGTGATGTTGACTGTTGTTTCCCGCCTCTGCCTCCTCTTTCTCTTCCTCCTCTTCTTTCGCCTCATTCTCCTCTGCCTCCCTGCCCTCTCCATGCAGTCTGTCCGCATCTTCTCCGCTCCCCTTCCGAGGGGTGTTTCGGGGGTTAGGTGGTAGATTGGGGTCGGACTGTTGTCATGTCGACCCCGCCGTCCTCCTGGGCTGGGGGTCGCCCAGCGACACAATTTTGGCCGCTCGGTAGCGGGGAGGCAATACAACGGGGTGAATCGAGGATTGCAGGCGCCCCAAACGGCCCCCAAACCTGCCGCCGCGGCACCAAAAGGTGCTGGAGAGGCGCACGCTTCTTCCCCCTCTCCCCTCGCCAGCTGGAGAGCTGTGGAGAGCTGGAGAGTTTCAGGACATGGTTCGGGCGCTGCCAGAAGTGTCCCTGACCCAGGGTGTACCCCGCTCTTCGCGCCATTCCTGGGACCCTTGGCCTCGTGAGGAGCGCTCGTGAGACCACCTGGGCCTCCCAGGAACTCTTGGGGACCAGTCCGACCGAGGCCACGATCCCGAGCCCGGGCCGGAGCCGGAGCCCGAGCTCGAGCCCCGGGCCCAGGCCCCATCACGAGCCCGAGCCCAAGCCCGAGCCCCAGCCCCAGCCCGAGCCCGAGCCCGTGCTCGAGCCCCAGCTCGAGCCATGGGCCAGGGACATCACCTCTGGCGACACCCGAGAGACGGCGTTGAGAGCCAGAGGCCGGCGCCTCTCGCGGCCACGAGCCCTCGCCCCGGGCGGCCTGTGTATATGTATATGTATATGTATATGTATATGTATATGTATATGTATATGTATATGTATACGTATATATGTAATATATATATATATATGCATTGTATATATATATATATATATTAAGCACATACATTTTTATACATAGACGTATCTATACAGCAGCCTGCCAGTCGAATTCTAGGACCGAGGAGGCATTTATGCGTCGTTCGTTTTCGGGTGTGGCTCTTGGGAGAGGAACAGCAGCAGAGGCACAGCGTGAGGAGTGGCGCCGGCCAGGCGTCGGAGTCCTCGAGGGCGGACGGCGGCGAGGCCTCGCCAGAAGGCTCTGCTGCGCGTCCGGCTCTCTCTCTCTCTCTCTCCCTCTCTCTCTCTCTCTCTCTTTCCGCGGCGAGAGGGCGAGTGCGAGGACGAGGACGAGGGCGAGGAGAAGCACAAGGGCCAGGAGGAGCGTGGACGCGGAGGGGGAGGAAAGAGGGAGGAGGGGTGAGAACGAGGAGAGGAGGGAGCATTGCAAGGAGGACGACGATGACGAGGAAGAGGAGGAGGAGGAGAAGGAGAAGGAGGAGGAGGAGGAGGATGAGGAGTTGGAGAAGAAAGAGGCGAAGGGCGCGGGAGGGGACGAGGACGAGTACGAGAGTGGATGATGATGCTGCTGCTGCTGATGCTGATGCTGACGCTGACGCTGATTGCTAATGCTGATGCTGATGCTGCTGCTGATGATGCTGATGCTGTTGCTGCTGATGATGAGGAGGAGGATGCTGATGATGCTGATGATGATGATTATGGTGATGATGCGTATCCTGGCAATGGTGATGCCGATTATGAGTATGTTAGTGATGCTGATGTGTTATGATGACGGCGGTGCTGGTGGTGAGTATGATGACGATGATGGTGATGCTACTGATCATGATGATGATGATGATGATGATGATGATGATGCTGATGCTGATGCTGATGCTGATGCTGCTGCTGATGATGATGATGATGCTGAAGACGTGTGATGATGGTGATGATGATGACGAGGAGGAGGAGGAGGATTGGCAGGAGGGAGAGGAGGAGGAAGAGCTGGACCAGAGTAAATCCAAGATGCATCAACGATGCTGCAGTACACCTTCCTGTTCCAAGTCCCCTCCCCATGAGTTCCTACAAACTTGTCCATTTCATTGCAAGAAGCGTCCCCACCCCCGTCCCTGAAACACCAGCGCAGTTGGGCCTGCCATCTCCGCGAGGACCCCGCTTGAACAGGAACTGCCTTGCATCCTCATGGCGCGATACCAGGAATGCGAACAACCAGGTTCACGCAGTTCAGCGAAGTGTCCAGCGAGATCCCCCGCTCGAAGAAGGGCCGCCCCACGTGTGTAATCGCTGCACCAGTTTACACACGTGGTCACGGTCCCCGAGAAAGTCTCAAGCCACAGCTTCATTATGAAGAAGTGCCATCCTGGATCCGTGCAGCGCTACATGTGTTGAAGTTTCAGGCCTGCGGAATGAGCAACGTCTCGAGCGAGTTCCAGATGTTGAAAAGAAGAGTCCTCCATTCTTGTACATGGCGCATTCGAAAACGAATGTGCGCGGCGTTGAGGCTACAGACTCCTTCAGGAAACGACATGTGTTCCATCCTTGCCAACGGTTGCAAACTTGGAGACGGATGTGCGCGGCGCTATGGCCGTTAACCCCACATTGAAAAACATTCCATCTTTGAGGTTATTGCAGAACATTGAATCGAATGTGCACAAGTCTAAGACGAGAGCGCCATGCTTGAAGCCAGCCCGCTCTTCGTCTTATC